AGGTCGAATCGAAATAAAAAGTATATATTCGTGATCAGCTTTTGAAGGGCTTTCAAACCATATATAAACGAACGAGAAAAAAAATTCACTCCAGTTTTGCATTACCGGCACCTTAAATGAATTTCATAATGGGTCAAAATTCCGAAATATTTTAGCATATACGAATTTTGGGGCTCTTCATTTGTAAATTCAAACGTCGAAGGGATTGCTCAAAACTTTTTTACTATATTCGGATTTTCTGTGCTATTTCGAATAGAATCGGTCACATTTCTAAGCTTCCTTCAGTGGCGAAAATGGATTTTGAGAGAAAATTTTTTCTTTTGACTACAAACGCATTTTCATGGAAGTCTGAGGCGCTAATCGTACTCTGGATAGTCAATTACATATGACTAGACACTTTTTGCACGTCTTTTTTGGAGAAACAAATTTTCACTTTTCCTGAGAGGGACCTCAAGCATAAAAAAAATCGAACTTTTCTAAACTGGGACGACAGAAACGTTCAGAATTACATTTTATGTATGATAATGTGAAAAAAAGAAAAAAGGTTTGGAGAAAAGTTTTCTTAACTAATGCCCCTCCTCTTTTTTCTTTTCTAAATATTATGTTTTTTGATCGAAACAATGCGGTAGAAAATTGGTCGATCTATATACATAAAGAACTAGAAAAGCGATTGTCTTGTCTTGTCTTGTTTATTCAAATGACATCCAATGTCATTAAAATATTATTTTAGTCATCAACCACTCTGAAAGTGGTCGAACTTATTTATTATTCTTTTTGTTCTCGGTCTAAAAAAACTTGGGATTTTAAAAATAATGGACGAAAAGAAAAAAGAAGTGTTATCATGAATGGTTGCAGTGAGGGAAATAAAAGTTTAAGAATTATACTGAAGAAGCACGTGTACAGAATATCGTCGTCGCCACGACATCATCTAGACTCATATCGTTTGCTATTCACCTATATCCTATTCACCTGTTCTGCTCTATGCGACAGAAAACATACCTATTACATTAATATCTCAATAATGCCAATACCAATAACAATCTGTCAAGCATTGTCGTAGTCAAAAATGGTAACTAATTACAACTTACTGACAGTGACACTCACATTTCTATATTTATCAACAAAATTAAATTCAACAAACATATCTGATGTAACAGAAACAATGTTGATTTTTAATAACTCAGTTCATAAGAATCTAGCCCTTCGTAATGATCTATCCTCAAAATGAAATTTCATCGACTGTTTGAAAGAACAAATAAAAATTCATTGGACTGAAAAACATCATGAATAAGGGCAGTTTTTTGAAACTCCGGCACCTCTTTCTAATCATCTACCAAGTGTTTTTCGATTTTCTCTACGCTTCATTTTTTTGCACGATTCAGATAACATATCTTTTATATTTTAGAATTATTTCTTCTGTTTGCACATTTATTTGAGGTAAATTTGATAAATTTGATAAATCTCTATTTGAACAAAAACGATTTACAGAAAGAGAACGTAATTTACAAAAAAGAAAAAGAAATTTCGAAAAATAAAACAAAAAAAGAGAACTGTCTGGGAAAGTACAATCCATACTCTCTAAAAAAAATAGGTTTATTACGAAACCTAAAATGGTGTAGAGAAGTGCAACGATTTCGAAACCGTTTTAGATTTCGTATGAATCCCTTTTGGATTTTGTACTTCGACTACGAAACAGTTCATGGTTTTGGGCGAACATAAAGGTTTCGTAGTCGAAGTACGAAACCCAAAAGGGATTCATACGAAATCCAAAACGGTTTCGAAATCGTTGCGCTTCTCTATACCATTTTAAGTTTCGTAATAATCCTATTGTTTTTAGAGAGTACCGCAGATGTCGATCGAACAAATGAAAACATTAGAAATTAAGAGAATGAGATTTCTTTCCTAGGAGCTCTAGTAAGTGTTTTTATTTGATTCCAAATCATTTATGCAAAGAACCCCATGCTAGAGGCGTTTGCCCATTGCAATGACGGAAAAGCGAGGTTATGTTAAAATAATGCCAGTGAATCTTGACCGGACATCACTGTCTCAAGGTTCCATTATCAACGTAGTAAAAAGTCCAGTGACCTCCATTTCCACCCATCCACGTTGACAAATTAAAAAAATTTGACCCTCGATCATTTCCCGCTACTTTATACACTTCAATAGCGCGCTTATTACAATACCAGTCTAATGAATAACCACTCTCAACTCGTTCTGGTTTCGTTTCGGGTAAATATTGGGTCAAAAAGTAAGCAGTAGTAACGCCGAATACGCGAGCTTTTCCTGTCTCGTCAATAGCGACAGCTGTGCTTTCATCTACTCCAATCCCACGTGGCAAAGAAACATTCCATGATTTACTTAGTTGTGCCATGAACGTGATATGACGTGCGTGTCGATTACGTTCTGTATAATGTTGATCAGTAATTGTATCGACTAATAATGGGTGTTTTAATAAACTTTTTCGTATCGTTATGTATTCATTAAACGGATTCATTAAAGCATCATTTGAATCAATTGTCCGTTGTTTTGCGCTAAAATAGTATTCACCCTGAATAGCTACCACCCGCAAGTAAAATACCAGATATTGAAGGAACAATAATACCGGCTTCATTGCCCAAAATCCAACTATAGTATGACGTGCAATCAACTATAATGGAATAGAATTTTGTTTGGTTTGAATTCTCGGGGTGGAACGTGAGGAATTCACATTACTATGCTTCTTTTCGCTGAACTCGCAGGAATCTGATCCTTTTTATTACGACGATTTCCGAAGATCGAAATCGTTCAATTCCTGTCTGTTCAGATACGTTCCTCCAGTAACTGGATGTCGGAAATGCACGGATCATAAGAGCTATATCTTTCTTCGTTTAACTTCTTTTCTTCAGCGGGAGGGAGCATTTCTGGCAGCTGGGACGTGAACAAGCAGACAGTGCGAGTGATAGATGGTTCATACCGTTGGTGCTTTGAAAAGAAAAAGGATTCCGGTGGATTTGGTGACCCCCTTGAAACAGGAAGCTGAGTATACAGTTTTGTAGAGTAGCTCAAGACGCATCGAATGGTATATAGCGAAGTTCGTTTTCATACCAGCATACAGGATCTAGAGTCACAATTTTCTAGTCGGTCGTCACGATAGCCATCTGAACCTATATCGATTTTAGTGCCAGTCACAAGAAGAGAAAAAGAAATGTTTCCAATCTATACTTTTGCGGATATCATCTTGGACTGCACGCTGATATATTCGACGTTTCTGCTCACCTCATATTGATGGAGAAAAATGAGACTTTTCATCGATTTTAATGTTTCTCAGTATTTTGTGTCGTGCACCTCACAAGAGAAGTGAACAGAAGCCAAACTTTACCAGAAACTGTGTGCGAGTCCTCTCTATAAAATGCACTATTCCAAAATTCACCTAAGGAGGGCGCTTCATACTCAAAACTACTTCGCACTGAAAAAACTCCTCTCGCGTTAAGCGATCTTTACTCAAAGTATTTACATTATTCCACCCGTTTCACCTAGATCAAATATCAACTATTATAGACCGTTCGATAGAAAATTTCACGAGCTTCCGAATGATATATAAGATCGTCTCAAGAAAATGTAACTGGGTAGTCTAAGATCCGAAATACTCGGTAACATCTCAGCAGACCACTAGATCAGCGTCGTTCATGATTATAATATCCATTAATTTTCTACTTTATATATCGTTCGATAGAGAATTGCACGGGCTTCAAAATGAGCTATAAATAGCTGTTTCGAAAATATGCTCACACGGGTCAATACTCGAAATACTTGACCGATATAATGATTTTCACCTATTTTAGTGCTTTAAACACTCCTTTACTTAGTTTTCTCCCATAATGGCAAATTATGTATATTTCAAAAGTATACCATTGGATAGCCCTTGAAATTCTCTACAACGTGAGAGGATCAGAATGTCCAGACAGGTGGAGCCAGTCATTGAAGATATACAGAAGAAGCGTTTGGGTGATATCTAACGGGTGACGCATAATAAACGGGACACTTTTGTTCTTTATTTTTAAGGCACTTTCGAATGATCTAAAAATCTGGTTCTAGTCTCATTCGATAGAGAATTGAATTCTCTACAGAACCTGCTTTTTGAATCTCTGATAGCATTTTTCTCGTTTAAGCATCACTCAAAATATTGAATAGTGCTAAATTCTTGAACTGCGACATACCGGAAACAGAAAAATATTTGCCTTGATCCCAGAACAGATTTCATAAGAATTTTGAAAACATCAGAAGATTCACCGGAAAATGCTGCATCTTCTTACACATTCTTCGAAATTCTACAGTTAAGTTTTCTAC